AAACAAGGGAATGTCTTGAGCCTCAGAATGCCTTGCTGCCCCCCGAACTAATACAACAACGGCTCCCGCCTGATTCCCCATGGTAATGTGTTCAAAATCGCGCTCTCGCGCGGGACATCCTCACAATGTATCCAGGAACCGCGCTCTTGCGTAGGACGTCCTCGCAATCGATTCATACACCGCGCCACAGACACTCAGGAATCACGCTCTCGCCCTGGCTTTTCTCACGAGTTACTTGGGAATCGCGCTGTCGCTCGAGACTTCTTCGAGCTTCATGCAGGACTGACGCTTCAGTGACCCGCCCACTCGACCAGGCCGCCTGGACACGCCCGCCTTGCCTGCCCATTAGGGTCCGCCAGCCCGATCCGCCCGCCTGGTTCTGCTGCTTTGCCTTCTGTTCCTGACCCACTCTCCTGCTAATTTCTCTCGTGCTTCCATCCTTCGTGTCCCCCCCAAATGGGGGTCTGATCGAAGACGAAGTGGGCGGGTATCAAAGATTTGGGTTGCATGGCACGCGAGCGGTTGAGAACGAACAATCTTCATATGATTGTCGCTGTTGTTGTGCACCGGGGGCCAGGGGTCCAGTCTGAGACCTAAGACGCAATATAATCACCACTCATATCACGCGCGGCTCGGCTAGAATCAGATGTGTGGTTGCTGGATGTCTAAATTGTGAAATGCACGTGGTTCGTGGGTTCCTGGTGCTTGACACATGTGGGAAGTATGTGGCTGCTAAGTTTCCAGCTCGTGCTCGGGTCGGGGTGCATGCTTGAATGTGCATGCTGCTTGTGGCGCGGGTGTGTGGAGAGGTCTCGCGTCGTCGTCTATCAGAACCGGCTGTCTGTGCTTGAGGGGACAATGAAATAATCCGCTGATCTCCGGCGTGTGAGTTTAAGAAAGCTAGAACCTGAGCTTCAGCTCTGCTGGGGGGGGGCCAGGGTGGCTCTGCCAGGGTAGGGGGGGGGGAGGGGGGGGGGTTCATGGGGTCCACCCTTTCTTTTCCCCCCCCCCCGGGAATCCCAAACCGCCCCGCAGGACGGGACAAAAGGGGCCCAGGAGGCCACCAAGACGGTCCCGGAGGCGCCCGAAACGGCCCAAGAGCGCTCCTGGACGCCCAAGATGGCCTGAAGATGGCCCAAGAGGCCTCCAAGACGCCTCAAGGAAAACTCAAGAGGACCCCCAAGAGGGCCCCAAGAGGGTACAATAATAAAGTTGCGAATAGGTTTTGAAGCATTTTAACATTATCGCCTTTTCCGTCTTAGAAGCGCCGAAGACGGTCCAAGAGGCCCCCAAGATCGCCCCAAGACAGCCCAAGAGGCCCCCAAGAGGAGCCAAGACGGTCCAAGAGGGCCCCAATATAGCCCTGGAGGCCCCCCAAGACGACCCCGAGAGGCCCCCAAGATGGCCTCAAGAGGGTGAATCCGAACGAACCCTTCTAGTCCTCCACCCCAAGATGACCCCAAGAGCCCCCAAGATGCCCCCGAGGCGCCCCCAACCCCCAGGGGCCCCCAAGAGGTCCCCAAGAGGCCCCCAAGAGGACCCCGAGAGGCCCCCAAGAGGCCCCAAAGGCCCCCAAGAATCAAGAAGCCCCAAGAACCAAGAGGCTCCAAGAGGCGCTCACTCGCGTGCTGCCAGGCCAGAGGTGCACGGCGTGACTTGGTATTGCTCGGAAGCGAAAGCGGTGAACGAAGAACCTTCCACCCGTCGCCGTCACCAGTCGTCGGTCGTCGGCCGTCGGCCGCCGTTCGCCGTCAGTCGTCGTCGTCGTCGTCGTCGTCGTCGTCGTCGTCGACGTCGTCGTCGTCGTCGTCGTCGTCGTCGTCGTCATTAACTCCTTCGTCGGTCGTCGTCGTTGTAATTATCCCGCTCGTCGACCGTTGGTCGTCCGTTGTCGTCGTCATCGTCCATTTCAACAACAATAGCATCAGGAGAGCCCTGGATCGGCGGCACTGGCCGGAGGCCACTACAATCCTATATACGGCTACCCTTAGATCGGGCATCTCCTCCCGCAGGCGGATTCGGGGGGGAACTAAAAATCGTCAAAAAAGATTTTAAAAAAGTAAACTGATCGTCCCCAGACTAGTTGGCTATTATTTTTGAATATTCCTCCTGTAGAGGGACGTGCCAGACTGAAGGCTACTCCCTTGACCCCTCCCAGAGTGCGCTCTGACCGACCTTCGTAGCCGAGGCGACGAGGATCGGGCAGCGGCATCGGCATTTCGTTATCCCTTCCCCCCAGGCTGCTGCTGCGCAGGAGGCGAGTCGAGGCATCTCGGAAGCACGCGTGGATGTTGGCGAGCAGCTCCTCCCGGCACGGCGAGAAATACCGGCACAGCGGCTGCCTTGGCGCCAGGGTCCTCAGGCGGAGCACCTCTTGGCGCGCCCGGAACGGGTTCGGGGAAGCCGGGCACGATGTCCAACAGCAGGTGCTCCCTGAAGCCAGCAGAGGCCGCAGTTGGGCAGGCGAGCCTCTGCCTCCGATGGAGAACGTCCGCGGCGAAACCGGCAGCGCGTGATGTCCCAGATCCGGTCGTCGGCACCACTCTTCCCGTGCGGCCGCTTCGTGCCGTGGCGACCCCGGCACTGCGTGGATCGCTCCACCTCGAGCCATCGTCGGCCGCTCGATTGCCCGCTCGCTCCCGATGTTGGTCGATCCGGGGCCCCTGGCGGCCTTCCGCCGTGAACGCTCACGGCGGGGCCGCCGCCAGCCGACACGACGCGGGTCTGCCTCTGCCCCTTTCGACCCTCCAGCGGACCTCCTCCCTGCCCACCGACACCTCCTCGCCCCCGGCGGCGGGCTCCTCCAGCAGGCTGAGGGCCTCGCCCGCCGACACGACCAGCTTCAGGTGCGCCGGCAGGCCCTGCGCGTCCGCGGCGCGCGAGCGCGCCAGCCAGGTGCTCCGCCTCGCCGCCAGCGCCCGCCCGTGGGGCCCCGGAGCCCAAAGCTCGGCTGCGCGAGGGAGGTGGCCCTGGTCAGAGTGGCCTCCGGTGACGCGCGGCTCGCCGATCGGTGCATGCGGCGCGGCAGCGGCTGCCTGCGCGGGTGCAGCTCGGCGTTGGCCCCGCCCCTGGGCCCCACGAGGGAGCCCGCGCACCACGAGGTCGCTGCGGCGAAAGGCTACCTTTCAACGCGCAGCCGAGATGCGCCCGGCACACGAACCACAGCGCGTCGCCGGCGAGGGCGGCGCCCTCGGAGGCCTGGGTCAGCTCGACCACGCGGTGGTCCGGCGAGCCAGAGTGCCGCGCCCGCTCGGCCGGGTCGAGCACCTCGCCGACACGCACCGCCTGCAGCTCCGCCAGGGGGCGGACGTAGAGCCTGTCCTCGTCGCCCAGCTCCCACGACAACGCCGTGCTCGCCTTCAGGAAGGTCTCCTGCTCAGTATGCAGGACGCGGGGCCCGAAGGAAACCGGTCCTGGACCCTGGGGCACTCCCCTTATAGGACGAGCTTTTCATCCTGAGTCGTTCTCCGACGGTCCTGGGGCCCGCCCAAGAGCGGCGAAACACCGACGGACCCGCCTCCCTCACGACACGCCTCTCCCAGGGCGACTCCTGCAGGGCCCGCAGCGTGACGCCCTTGGGGCCGCCCAGGGCGCGCTCCTGCACGGACCAGTGCGGCAGGTAGATGTGCCAGGGCCTGGTCGACATCCAGGCGGGCGGCGGGAGCTTCCGCGCCCGAGGGACCGACGAGCAGGGCAGGGACGCCGAAGACGGCGAACGCCGGCCTGGGCCAGCATGGCTCAGGAAGAGACGGCTGCAGAGGGGAGGAGGCTGAGGAGGAGGAGGAGGAGGATGAGAAAAGAAAAGAACGGGGCGGAGGAGGAAGGGGAGGAGGAGGAGGGAGGAGGAAGGATGAAGGAGGAAGAAGGAAGGATGAAGGAGGAAGAAGGAAGGAGGGGGAGGAGGAGGGGGATGATGATGATGATGATGATGATGATGATGATGATGATGATGATGATGATGATGATGAGGAGGAGGAGGAGGAGGAGGAGGAGGAGGAGGAGGAGGAGGAGGAGGAGGAGGAGGAGGAGGAGGAGGAGGAGGAGAGGGGTGAGGAGGAGGAAGGAGGAAGGAGGAAGAAGGAGGAGGAGGATTCATAGGCGGGAAGACGGAGAAGGAGCGGGAGGAGAAAGCGGCAAGAAGCAAAGGGTCCTGGAAGTGTTACGCCGTTTCCCGCGGACCTCGGGGCTCCCAGCCCAGGAACAACGACCCAGATCCTGGGGAAGGCCCCGAAGTCTGGGCGCCCCCGGCAAAGCTGGACGCACTCGGAGGGCTCCAGCCCGAAAACTGGAGGATTTGTGGTTTTCGTTTCTCTGCTGTGGCCCAGCGCCGGAGACCCAGAGGAGCGTTTCGCGCCGCTGCTCGAGGCGCTCGGGCGATCTCGTCTCCTGGGTTGAAGGTTGGCACGGCCTTTGAGCCGATCGGGAGTGGCGTGCGTAGCGCGGCGCGGCGGAGCCTCCTCTCACTTCTCTCCCTCCTCCTCCTCATCCTACTCCTCCTCCTCCTCCTCCTCCTCCTCCTCCTCCTCCTCCTCCTCCTCCTCATCATCATCATCATCATCATCATCATCATCATCATCATCATCATCATCATCATCATCATCATCATCCCCCTTCTCATTCTACCCCTCCTACTCCTCCCCCTTCTCCTCCTCCCCCTCCTCATACTCACTTTTGCCGTCTCCCCCGCGGGCCCTTCTTTAAAGTCCCAGCTTGCACCCTGGGCAAAGGTTCAAAATCGATCCAGCCGTGGCGGCCAGGAGACTTCAAAGGGCGAGCACCTTCCGAAAATCTCGAACCTGGGACCTCATCCTCCTGTCCCCTCCCCTTCCTGGGCATCCCAGAGAAAAGCTAGGGAAGGAGGGGCGAAGGCTGGAGGAGGCGGAGGAGGAGGTGAAGGAGGAGGAGGAGGACGACGCGGAGGAGGCGAAGGAGGAGGAGGAGGAGGAGGAGGACGGGGAGGAGGTGGAGGAGCAAGAAGAGGAGGAGGAGAACCCCATCCTTGGCGGTCTGGAGAGGATTGACATCCCGACGCAACGGGCAGAAGGCAACGGCTATCACAGCTCCCGAATCGTACACGCTGACGACAGACCAGCCCGCCCGACGCACAATCGGTTCGGAAGGATGCAAGGTCGATCCGCCGGCGAACAACTTACCCGAGATCATGCCGTCAACAGGCCTATGGACCCAGGAAGCATCGCACTGTTCTGGGCAGAGGGGAGAGGGAATCAACTCGCGAGGGGACGGGGAGACCCCGCTAGCAAAGAAGTCGCCTGTTTCACCCGCGTTCTCTGCCAGGCGCGCCGCAGCCAGGCACTGGAGGAGGAGAAGAGAGGAAGAGCATGGGGGTGAGAAGGGGAGGAGTATGTAAGAATTTATGTATGTACGCATGCATGCATGCATGTATGTATATACGTATGTATGCGTGTGTGCATGCATGCATGTATGGATGTATGGATGTATGGATGTATGGATGTATGAATGTATGGACGGATGGATGTATGGACGGACGGATGGATGGATGGATTGATTGATGGATGAATGGATGTATGCATGCATGCATGCATGTATGTATGTATGTATGTGTATATGTATGTATGAATGTATGTATGTATGTATGCATGTATGTATGTATGTATGTATGTATGCATGCATGCATGCATGCATGCATGCATGTATGTATGTATGTATGTATGTATGTATGTATGTACGTATGAACGTATGCACGTATGTATGCATGTATGTATGTATGTATGTATGTATGTGTGTATGTATGTATGTATGTATGTATGTATGTATGTATGTATGTATGTATGTATACACGTACGTATGTATGTATGCATATATATACATGCATGCGTGTATGTATGTATGTACGTACGTACGTATGCATGTATGTACGTATGTATGTATGTATGTATATATGTAAGTATGTATGTATGTATGTATGTATGTATGTATGTATGTATGCATGCATGCATGGATGGACGTATGTATGTATGTATGTATGTATGTATGTATGCATGTATGTAGGTGTGTAGGTATGTAGGTATGTAGGTATGTATGTATGTAGGTATGCATGTGTGAATGATGATGATGATGATGGTGGTGATGATGTTGTTGTTGATGATGATGCTGATGCTGATGATGACGATGATGAAGATGATGATGACGAGGAGGAGGACGACGAGGAGGAAGACGAGGAGGAGGACAGGGGAAGAGGAAGGGGGGGAGGAGCGGGAAGAGGAGGAGGGGGAGGAGGAGGAAGAACCACTGGGGACCACATCCCAAGACCTAGGCGAGCCTCGGCCGAGCAGAAAGAAGGGGCCAACCTCCCTTTACCATGAAGCCCTGGCCACCGCAAGGGCCCCTTGTGGGCGTGGAGGCCACGGGAGACACGCATCGGATTACGCGGTCCTTTCCTGGACCCGACAGGAGGGCATTGCCTTAGCTGGACGCCTGCTGTCGACAGCGCCGCAGATTCCGCAGAGCATGCAGAAAATTGGGCGAGACGCCGTCCTGCGCTCACGTCTGCGGAGCCCCGTGCGCACGGAGACCGCCCACCCGCGCCTCCCCGCCCCCCCGACAGACCTGCGCCCCCGACCTGCTGCGGGCGGTGGCGCCCAGAGCAGGCGGCAGCACCGGAGGGGAGGCTCCGGGCGGCGCGGCCCGCCCCGGGCCGCCTCCGGGCCTGCCGCGGTGGCGAGCCCGCCGCGCGCGTCGCACCGCCGCCTGCCTCCCTTCCTGGGGGGGCCCGCGGGAGGCCTGGGCAGGCGCTCTCCTCCTCCTGCTGATGCGCTCTGGGGCCATCCGCAGTGGCTAACCCCGAGCCGCGCTCACCAGCATTGGCGGGCAGCGTTCCCCTGGGACCAAACAGCGCCGCTGGACAGCATGAATGCCCAATTCGTCATACTCTCTAAATGGGGGGCCTTCCATCTGATATCCAACCAGTACAAGAACGCTTGGCAACACCTGGCTGGATGCTGGCCCACGAATCTGCATTCGCCTCCTTGAGAGTCGCTCGGTAGCCCCAACCTTGTTCCCAAGCTTTGAGCAGAGGGCGGTGGTCAGCAACGTAAGCAAGGGGGCCTGCCGTCAACTCCAAGGCCATTCAGAAAGCCAAACGCTCGGCGCGGGAAACGGATCGGCGATGGCCCGCGAGCGGGGCGGAGGCACCCAACGACACGCGCCACCCAAGGGATGAGGAATCCACGGGCGGCTCCAGGATGACCGCGCCAGCCCCGCAGCTACGCCTGCGAGGGTCGCTCGTGAACCGCCCCCCCCCCCCCCCCGAGCCATCCCCAAAAACCACTAAACTGTCTGTTGCCCCTGGCTGGACCCCAAGAACACGACGATCCAACCCCCGCCCCCCCCCCCCCCTTGCAAAGCCAGCCTCGAGACGCGCAACTCGTCATCAAGCGACGGGGCCGGGAGCTTTTCAGGGGAGGGCGGGGCGCGAAAACACGGGCGAGGCTCGACGCCAAAATTCGCTAAAGCTCTGGGGGCGAGATGATCACTTCTGGCGTAAGCCTCAAACTCGCGACTGACCGCGCACTGCCGCGCTCGACGCATCAAAGTCCCTGGCGCCTTGCCACAACGTCTGCAGGTGGTGTCCGTGAAATATCCTTGTGCCCGCTGCATGTCACGAGTCCACTGTCCACCTGGGGATGCCGGAGGTGTGGGGCCCCAATTCTCCGTGCCGCCCTTGGACTCGTACTTATGTGGCGCTCTGGTCACCTGCGACACATCGGCGCCGAGACATCGGTCCTCAGCGCCAGAACTTGCTAGACTTGCGAGTTCATCCACCATTTGAATGACGTGAACATGCTCGATCTCTGGAGTGCCGCATGCTAGTCATACCCAATCCACCTCCTGACCATCGCGCTTTCGTCTGGTCTAATCATTTGGCAGTTGACAAGACCAGTCCGCTTCCAGGAGCGTGGCGATGTTGGATGAGACTGGTCCTCTCCCTTTGCTCCATCGGACTTTGCCCTGCGCAGGAACATAGTGTAACATCGAATCCCATGCTTGCCTGAAAGGCCTATGAACCTGAGGCCTTTCAAACCATATCGCGAGCCACTCTTCAACAAGTTGTCTAGGTAGTTCCAAACCTTGATGTTTGTCGCCCATCGTCGCAGACAGCACCGACGTGAGGCACCGCCCTCTCTTGGCCCCTCTGGTGGCGGAACCAGCTTGACGACGCACATGTAACAGCCGACTGGGAGGAGTACCCAGCATCTGATGCCCATGACACCCTTGAGGTTGAACTCCAGTGGCCCGCAATCCTTTGCACGCCCTGCGAACTCTGGGGCCTAGACGTCGCAATCTCAGAACCCTGCCATGTATACCAGCAGCTGCTATCCATCTCTGTCCCAGCTCCTTGCAACATATTAACCGGTCTGAAAGTGACATGATGCCAAGATCCGTGGCTGATACTTTGTAGTTGACTGGTATGTCAATCTAACGTAGCATCCATGCGCAACGTCGCCCCAGCACTCTGGAGTCGGCGATGAACTCAATCTTCTCAGAAACCACACATCGGCATTGCTGAGATGCTTCCTTGAACTCCTGGCCAGACCTCACCGAGAACTCTACCGACTCATCCTGATTGTCCGCCTCAGCGCGCGCAACGGTGTCAGCAATGTACGTGGGCAGAGCAGCTTCTGGTGAGACTCGGTGCGTGCGCTCGAGGATCGGGTGCAAGAATGCTTCGGCCAGCTGAACTCCGTTGGGGCTGCCAACCACCAGCGAGCGAA